AAAATAGATCAGACATAACAATTTTAACATTTTAGCAGCCAAATATGCCCGCTAACCACTGACGGTTTAAGGGATAGGTTATGAAGCAGCATGAGGTTATGAGGTGGCGTGATTGTGGTGGATAGTACAGAATAGGGTAACCAAGAATATATTATCTAAATACCTAATAAAATCTGCTTTCTTGCGATATTGCGAAGGTAAAAAAAAAAAAAAAAAAAAAAAGTAAAAGGTTATAGTAAGAATAAATAGAATGACAAATTAAAAAATTAGATTTTAGAGTAAAAAAATGCAAATAGAATTATAAAAAACCTCCTCAGAAGTCAAATATTACTTGATGCTAAGAAGAGACAATAGTAGAAAGCTTTATAAAAAAGTTTCTGTAAATGACTCTCAATTTCAAAATAGGAATAGAATGAAAATTCTCATTAGCTATAAGAAAGATAGAACTTGAAGATAAAGTACAAACCTAATATTAGCTCATCTTATAGAAAAGATCAGAAACCAAGTGAAGTAAAATATATAAATTCAAGAAAATACAAGTATTTAAATATTCTAATCAAATGCTTATATGAAAACTGTTAGTATTGAAGATATTATTGACTAAAAGATCAGAATTATAAAATAACTCAATATATATAATATACAAAAAAAGTGAAGAAGAAGACTAAGAATATCTAATTATATATGAAAAGTATGAAATAAGATGCAAAGAAGCAGAACAGTTAACTTCAAACTTGGTCTGGACAGCTTTATTAAAAAATTTATAACTATCTTGACAAAATACAACTCAAAATATCTTTGTAGATTTATTAAAAGAAGAAAAAATAAAACAAGAATCAGTATATTTAAAGAATTAGTCAAGAAAAAGGTTGTAAAAAAATTTTTTGAAGTAATAGAAGTTTGAAAGAATTCAAAAGCTATTTAGATATGGCAATAAACTTAACATAAAACTATTTTTATAAAAACATTTAAAAACTAAGATATATGTATATGAATGATTGAAAAAAAAGAAAAGAATAAGTATGAAGAAAAAGAAAGAAAAAATCCTATTATAGAGAAACTAAATATCAGTATTAAGAAGACAGAACTAATTTTAGAAGAAGGAAGTAGTCAAAGTCAAGATCAAATTAAAGATAAAATTAAAAAGAAAAAAAATAAGAAAAATAAAGAGAAGAATGTAAAAAGAAAGAAAATACTTGGTTTGATACTATAAAAAATTAAATTAAAAATAAAACAAAGTCATTTTAATATAGTTTTATAGGCTAGCTTGGTGCGGCCCTTTAGTATAAGCAAAATGCTTCAACTGGTGTAGCAAACTATCTCTGAGTATTAAATAAGGTAGCTAAAAAATATCAAATCTATAGTTAAATAGTTAAATATATATACATATACAGTATATGCTTTAATTTAATAAAGATACTGGTGAGGCTACTGATAAGTAGAAAAAATATCATTATTTTATTAGTTTAGACCACAAATAAACTAGTTTAAGTTTTTTTTTGTTATTTTAGAATATGAAATTTAAATGTATTTTTTTTTGTAAAAAATTAAATTAAATTTCAATAAAGTTAAAAACATAGCCTCATTATTAATATTCAAAAAAAATAAATTATTATTTTATTTAAAAAATACTAAATATAATTTAATGTTTTAGACAAATTTGCCTGAAATACAGTTTAAGAAATAAAAATAATAATTTATATTATTCTAATTTGGCAAAATCTTTAACTACAATATTAGAATTGTTAATAATGCACTTTGTTAACTCTATTAATAAACCTTAGCTTTATTATTGTAATTACTAAATATAAATAATTTTATTAGTAAAATAATTATAAAACAATTATATATAAAAATTTATTAACCATATTAAGAATTTTATATATAATGTATATATACAGTATATATATAGGTTATCCTCGTTAATATTAACGTATTAAAGTTGATATATACTGTATAAGGGAATTTTGATATATAAAAATTTATAAAAATTTGTCTTGTGGTTTAGGTTAATATTAACGAGGTTGATATTAACGGAGGTCACCTGTATATTGAATTTGAGAGTTCACGAGAGCGACTTAAATCATACTATATATATCGTAATTCTGGTTTTAAACAAAAGGGATTAACTAACTAAATTTAGATTCAGATGATTAAAGTTAATCACGAAATTGAATAATGTATCAAATATTATATAATTAAACCTTCTTTTTGATTACGTGACATAATTGGACTGTAACAATGAGAGAAATTAACGTTTTAGTGTATCCTAATCCAAATCGAGTTTATGCGTAACTTAATAAACAAACATCATGAAATCATGAGACATACGTGGATTTTTGTGTATTTTATGTAGAAACGCGACTTTTTATAGAACATTTATTGAGTAGAGTTTTGAATTTTTTTTTAAAAACAACATACAGTTTGTAAAGTCGACAAAGTGGGAAAACGAAAGGTAGTTTATTTTTTACAGAAACTTGAAGACATATTAAAGGTTACAGAATGACAAGTCATTAAAGTTGTTTATTTACCGTTCATTATTCTTTTTAGAAAGTACCAAATAGAAATGTCACCAACGCTTCCACCTGAAACACTTCATCAAATACTGAAAGAACTTTCATTTCGTGATTTACGAAATTGCGTATTGGTTAATCATACATGGAGTATAAGCGCAATACAATTACTTTGGAAAAATCCATTTGCGTTTCGATATAATGGACAAAAGAACTACCGTCATGTACCAGGAAAAGGCAAACGTATTGAATGGTATGAGGATAGTAAACGATCACTTGTTGACACATATATATGGTGCCTAAGTGATGAATCTAAGCATTCCATCAAGAATTCGGGAGTTGAAATACCCAATCGTATAATTCAAAGACGACCAACTTTCAATTATCCATCGATTTTAACAACACTTAACTTTACCTATCTCAGTGATGTTATTGGATTTTGGCTTCCAACCACGATAACTTCGGATTTTCCTTATTATGTAGTTTTTAGAGAATTATGCAAAATGTTTATGACGGATTCACCTAGATTAAAAGTACTCGAATTTACCGATACTAAAGCAGCAGAACTTAAGTTTAGAAAGGTTAACATATTGCCACTCACTTGTTATGCACCCGGAGCAAACGATTTCTTTTCTAAAATTGTTAAAATTTCGTGTAACGGTAATTTACATTTATACATATCGATATATATATAATTATAATTTTTTTTTAAATATTAATAATATATATATATATTTTTTTTACGTATTAGCTATTCTCCAAAATGAAATTCTTTATGAATTGGCATTAGTCGCGCAAAATATAGAAGAAATAAATCTTCAAGATTGCAATAAAAATAAAGATGCGATGGCGAAATTTATTCAATCACAAACCAAATTAAAAAGGATTGAAATAGAAATTAATGGACCACCAACATTTTATTTAGCCATTCAACGAGCATTGGAAAGTAAAGCACCATACCTTACGCACCTTTCAATAATTCATAAAGGATATTCATATGATTCATTTCGATATTCACTTTCATGGTTAGTTAAATGTGAAAAATTACAAGAATTAAAATTACACAGCAAAACGGGATTTTATGAAAATTCATATTTACATCAAGCATCATTGAAAACTTTTAAAAATTTAAAAAAATTAGAATTTGTTCTCAGTAACCTTAATTCAGATCATATTTCAATGATTAGAAAAACCGATAATCGATTAAGCAAACTCAAAATAATTTGGATACGAGTTAATTCACCGGAAATTATTCAAATTACACCAAATTTGTTCAGTGCAATCAATCAAACATGTATAAATTTGATTGAATTAGAATTAACAGTTTCACCGTTAGCGTTGGAATTAATAACGGAATTATTCTGCAATTGTCAATTACTCGAAGAAGTTAGATTACATGATGGTAGAATAAGAATTTTGGGAGAAACGGAAATATTAGATATTTCAGAACACTTGATTGACTGGGGAGGAGTAATACCACGAAACTTACGAAAGCTAATATTTAGGGGCGATTGGTCATTCACTTTTAACGCATTTCGATATTTTATGGAAGGTTGTGATTTAAGATTGCTTCATAAAAAACTTTTATTTTTATTTGAAGCACTTGATTCATGTTTAATTTCAAGATGGTTGGGAGTCGTGCTTGATTGTTATATATCAAGTGGAAAGTTGAATAGACACAGCGGATTCAGATTTGTTTAGTCAAAAGTTTAGATTTTTGGTTATTAGGTTTGTTATAGAAATTTTTATCCGTCATTTTGCGCAACCTAATAATTATAAATTGTAAAATTTTTTTACGTTAAAGTATTCAATATTCTCAATATCCTCAATCTTTTCAATCTTTCAATATTCTCAATATTCTCAATCTTCAATATTTTTTGATATTCTCAATTATTTCTCTATTTCTTTGATATTCTCAATATTTCTCAATATTCTCAATATTTTATATTCTCAATATGGTATGAATTGCATTATTTTGTTTAATTATTAACGATAATGCTGATTATTGTGATTATTGATTACTTTCCTATATGAAAGTTGTTTTTCGCTTGGAATATACATGTATATATTATATATATATATTTTATGCAATAGATTAATTCGTTAGATTTACGATTTTAGTAGTGGGTTTATACTCTCAAACAATAGTGAATTCGTGATAATGGTAATGGTAATGGTAATGATAATGTTACACACAGATAATGATATTTAATAGTCGGAGATATATTTGTAGATATAAGTAAGCAAATTTGTAATTTATAATGACCAAATATAAATATAAAAGTACGAAGAAAACTTTAATTAACTGTAAACAAATTCTACAGAGATTAAATATTTATTTTGAAAAATTATATATCTTCCCAAAGCCAGAAAAAACCAGCATTTTCAATATTTACACCGTTTAACCAACATCTCCCAATAATACCAAAAGCAGTCATAAAACCACAAAAATTCCAAACTTTATTACCAACAAAATTTACCCTTCTACCTTTATCGATTGGAATAGATTCACCTTCAATAATAAATTCTTTACCATTATCATCAGTTAATGAACCATCTAAAATATAATACTTTGCACTATCTACATAATTTGAATCAACTTTTTCAACAAGATTTTCAAAACCTTCTTCACTATGTTCTGCAACAATTTCAAGTTCCATAAAATTAAAATCGGCTAATAATAATTTTTCAACGGATAAAATTTCATTATCCGTAACTAAACCAGTCCAATATCTTTGAGGACTTTTAGGCCAATCATAACCATCATTTCGAAGACACCATAAAATTTTATTTGAAGAATATACCTAAAAAAAAAAAATTATGATTTATCAAAAAAGGATAATAAATTGAATATTATAATAATTAAAAGAAGCTTACATCAACCATATGAGTCCATTGTAACCATTTATCACATTTTCTTGAATCAAAAATGCTTGATTCAGGAATAACAGGAGTTCTTTCTTCATTAGCAAAGTATAAAAGATAAATATGTAAAGCATGACAATCAAGCATAGGAAACACAACATCATTATTAGGATCCCAGCGAATTACACGTCCACGTAATTTTACAGCAATGCGCTCTATAATACTATCAAATGGACCTAATCCTAAAAAAAAAAAAGAGTAAAAAAAAAAGAGTAAAAATAAAAAAAGAGTAAAAGTTAGGAATAACAAAGTGATAAAAGAATAGTGGGAATAACAGGGATATAAATTTCGAATAAGAGAAATTTACCATAGACTAATAGCATTGATATGATTTTAATAGATATAAATATACATGCAAGATGTTTTAATGAAGAGTCCATGTCAGCATATAATAGATGAAAGACTTGAGAACAAAATTCGGGAGCACGCATTTCAAGAAGCTTTTTTGAATTTTTTCCGTCTAAATAAAAAAAAACCCATTAAAAAATATTAAAAAAATATTAAAATATTTAAAAAAAATATATAGGATAATATTAATAGCAATAATAATAATAATAATAATAATAACACTAATAATAATAATAACACTAATAATAATATTATTATTAATATAATTATTATTAGTAGTATTATTATTATTATTATTATTAATATCATGATTATTATATTAATAATATTATTATTAATATCTGATATCATGATTATTATATTAAAATCATTATTATTATTATTAATGTTATTATTAATGTTATTTTTAATGTTATTGTTATTATTATTAATATGTTAATAACAAACCATTTTCAGAAACAAGAACCCATAGGCATGTCAAAGCATTCAAAACATTATTTAAAGTAGATTCATTCTGAGATAAATCATTGATAGAATAACTTTCCAAAGCATGAAGACTAGAATCCATAGTATCAACATTTAATTGAGAACGTTGAAAGAAAATTTTTCTGAAATTACACGTGACAAACCGTCGTTTTCTTGCCGAAACATCATATTCAGACATGAAAACTTGTTCCCACACGATACGATCATGTGATAACATGTAAAAGATTTTGCATACTAAAGGTAGAGAAGTTACAGCAGTCTTTGGAGGATTAGGAGATTCGGATAAAATAAGTTCATACAAGATTCTCAAAAGTATTTCGGTTGGTAATGAACATAAATTTAAATCGATAGGAGGATTAAAAATTTCCCCAATGGTATTACTTTGAGAATCCAAATAAACATATTTGGTATGTTCGAATAACGAAATTTCCGAGTCATCGTCCAAAATAATATTTTGACAAGAATCTAACCAAATGAAAGAAAATAATAAATAATAATAAATCAAGATTAGTAATAGATAAAAACCGATTGATATATATAAATTTCAACTATTTAATTACCTTGATCCAGGAAACCCATGTAAATTAAAATTTTTTAAAGTAGTTTATAAAAAATTCATCCACAGCTAAATATTGATAATTATTTAGATATTTACAAACAATGTTATTCTTCGTTGTATTACAAAGTTCTCAGCATTGAAAAAAAAGGAAATGAAACAACTTACACCTTCGAAGTGTATAAAGTTTTAAGAGTTGTACAAAACGATTAATTAAATATTCACGCATTTTATATGTGTGATAAGTGTGATCCGCATAAACAAGAAAGAATTTGTCCTATGATCAGCCTGTACAACGATACATTTTAGCCTCGTTAAGCGCTTCCCTTGTGATATTTGGGTAATTAGTACAATTAGTACGTAAGCACACATATACATACGTATCTGATATGTGTTATACGTACTCTTCAAGTTTTTTTTTTTTTTTTTAATATTACACAATGATGAACCAGATATGTTAGTTCGTTCTTATGCAGGAGCGCATTTTTAATCAATATTATCAGGACTTATGTAGTTCCACATCATTTTGGGTCATGCCACCTCGTGTAATTGAGATTTTTCGAGATATGAGCGATTATTAAATTAATTAAAAATTATCTTAAAATCATCTTAAAATCATCTTAAAATTATCTTAAAATCATCTAAAATTATCTTAAAATTTTATTGGCCAGAGAACAAGTGCAAGATTGCGCGGCAGGATCCGAGATTGGTGAGGAAATATTAGTTTCCTGCTTTACTTTTTACCTTAATTAAATTGTACCTATCTGCTATCAACTATGGTAGTATGTAAGTATATAATATATTACAAAATTAAAAAAAAAACCCCCAAAAATATTTGGTTGTTTATTAAATATTTTATATATTATTTTATTTTTATTTCATAAATTTAGCTATTTCAATGTTTGCAAGTCTTTTTCTTATTAACAAAAATCTTACATGGCAATCTTATAACCAATCACCAAATTAAGATTTAATGATATAATTTGGAAGATTGTTTTTTTGTTTTTTGTGAATTTCGCTCACTATTATAATTACAAAGGAATTAGAGGAATTATGTACTAAATAATTGTATTAATTATTATATAGATTATTTGGATGGAATAGATTATTTGGATGGATATAGGTATGGATAATATATAGTTATTGGGCGCGTAGCGACCAACAATAATAATAGATTTTTACAGTCTATGGCGTGTCCCTAGATGATTACCACAATTTGGACAACTGTGTGTTACATCTAAAAAAAGCAAACAAGAATATTGGTTAAAAAAAAACCAAACAAAGAGTATCGTTTAAGATTGAAAGAGAAGAATAAAAATGACAAATAGAAATACAAATAGAGATACAAATAGAAGTGACACTAACCTTTACAAGAATCCACGACAAAAGGAACCCAGAATAAAACCACAGTCAAACTAAATAATCCCATGGCTAATATATATACAAATTTTCCATTTTTATGATGAATTTGAGTAGTAATAAGTTTGCTACAACTAGAACATTGAGTCTTCACAGGAAAGTCCGGATATTTTAACGAAAGAAAAGATGAATCAATGCTACGTTTCTTTCGGTTATGCACTCGTGGAGTGTCAAATCCATTATGTGTTTTGATAGATAGTACGCTTTCCTCGTTACTTAATGTACTTAGTAGAGAATCACTCACACTAGGTGAGGAATCGATTTTGATTAGGTTAAAAGGTGACGCCATTTATGTTACGTAAGAAAGGAAAAATATGATGATAGAATTTTTTTTTGTTTTTAAACGATTGATAAAATGGTTAGAACGTTTTTAACTTTTTTTTTATATTTTTTTAAAAAAATTTGAATATGGATCGATTGGGAGGAACTAAGGATATTTATATAAAAAAATTTAAGGAAATTTGGCGGCTTATACTTGCACCACAGTTACAAATTCTTTTTTGTTTCATAAATAAAGAATTTGTAGTAATTTGAAAAAAGTGATGAACATGGCAATAGAACAATTTGGCCCGAAAGATCAGTTGTCACACAGAAAGAAAATCGATGCACCTTTTATTTGTTCCATTATTTTGCTTAATTTCGTGGTAAGTTGGTCTGGACCAATTGTAATTATATTATTACGTATGCACATATATCTACATATGTACGCATTCACGAATGCATTGTAATTTATATTGTTATTGTTTTAGCCATCATTCGCCTTATACCCTTATATCCGCCTTACGTATACTCCGTCGGCTTGTATAGTGTGGCTTGTTTTGGATTAATATGGGATTAATACGTAGTAAGTACATACGTAATACGTATGTGCATGAGCTCAGAAGTTCCAGAAACAAATCGAATCAGAAAAAAAATCAAATAAAACTATAAATATACAAAAATGGATCCTTTTTCGAAATTTGTAAAAAATAAGGATATATCAAAAAAAATATAGTGCATGATTTTAAATGCCCGTTTAATTAAAACAATTCAGAAGTTCATGACCAGACACCAATGAAATCTATAATCTAATTTAACTAATTTAGGGGGTTTGCTGCGATTTGTAGATCACAAACATAACGACTTCCCAGCAATAAAGACTTTAATACATGTATTGTTGTGAAATTAGAACGCGTGCTAAAGCAGTATTATGATTTTTTTTAGAGATAATCACATGTTTACTTATGTTTATTCCATCATTTCATCATATCTAAGCCTCTAGGACCCTTAGAATTTAGATGCTAATTTAGATGCTAATACAAAATTGACAGAATAGAAAACTCGAGATTAAAAATAGTAAATCTTTTCTATCAATTGGTTTGTGGCTTGTTTAAAAAGAATGAATTTATTGTATAAACTAGTTTCTAGAACATCAATCGAATTCTATTATGGCGTATAGCAATAGTACTGTATCAGCTACTGTATCAGCTACTGTATCTGGTATGATATCAATACGATATCGATATCAATATCAATACGTATTAAAATGCGATAATAACGATAAATTTAGTAATTCCAAATCTCCGTGTACGCATTCAAATAAGCTTCAAACAATTACATACGTACAGTACGTACGTACGTAAGCCCATACTCCGTTATCAATTATTTATTTTAACAATGCCAGATATTAAAAAACGAAAAGCCCTTCGTTTAAATCAGGATTATCGTTATATGTAAATATACAATATATCTCCAAATAAAGCAAGCTAATAATCTTTATAAGATTTCCTTGTTTACTAACTTGTTTTTATATCGGTATGAGGCACGTAGCGGTATAGGAGTGTGACATGACACACCGAGATATTTAGTATCACAGAATGTCTAATAATAGAATGAATCAATTGGGGATTAGAATTACTTAATTAGTTGTATTGTAAACCAGTGACTGATCCACGTGTGGGATTAAACAAAATTTTTTGATAACAATAATATACTTATATGTCTATTGTTTATTTTTAAAAACTACACAATAGATTAAATAGATATACATAAATAGAGCTACTTATGCGTACGGACACTTGCGTTTTTGAACACTTGTGTTTTTGAACACTTGCGTTTTTTGAACACTTGCGTTTTTGAACACTTGCATTTTTGGTATAATTAACAGTTAATAAAAAACGTACTGTACGTACTGTACGATACATAAATTCTTATCTGTTATCAAAATGTGTCGTACGTATATTGGTGTATGTACGTAAAAGTCATCCGGAATAAGTCAATATATATATATTTTCTTAATAAAGGTAAATTAAATGTATTCCCTAGAATATTTTAATATTTTAATATTTTACTGTATTTATTACATTTATTACGTATGTGGTTATTTTTTGTAATCATGTTTATCCCCCTCAAAGTTTATCCGTCAAGGTTCAACTATTATTACGTACAATACTATATCTGATATTATTAATACCTATCACATTATATTTTGTTATGTTTTATTTTATTTTATATATTACTGTATTATAGGACAATACGTAAAAAAAATTCATTGAAACAGTAAGAAAGAAATAACGTCCAGGGGCGATTTCGAATTACAGTTCATTGAAATAACGTGAATTTATAAACTAGTTAAATAATATAATCTGAACGCAAAATTATTCGTGATTATAATCCAACAAATAAAGAAAGGCACATGCACAAGTAAGGATTTAAATAGAAATACAGTCAGATTACTTTCATATTTTAAACCCGATCAAAACCGGATTAAGCATATGAAAAATAAATCAAGTTCCAAAATATAGATCAAATATGTAATTCAAATATGTAATTAACATCATTGATTTTTTGATGCGCTAATAATCAAAGAGGTCTCGTGTCTAACTGTTAAATAAATCTTATTAAGACAACATGCGTTTACGTAGAGATCAACCTTTACTATGAATATACTCCTTTTGAAAGGTGCACTTAGAGATGTTCCCTGTGCATTCGACCTATAAACTCAAATATTTTAAGAAGCAAACATTACCAATGAATCTAAAAAAAATATTTATATATAGATCTATTTCCTTAACACCAAGTTAATTGATGCTAATGTAATTTCTACAGGTACATACGTACGTAGTTTCTTTTTCTTCACTCTATTGACGCTTATCGTTATACGGTATTATAAATATTGCTTTCTAGTTGTTAGATATCTAACATAGAATCATGTCGACTAATTAGTCGACTAAACATAATAGTCGACTAAGCCGATTCCAATCCCTACATGCATGCATGCATAGCACTCTTTTAGAAATTATTTCTAAATTAAGCACATTTCTAAATAACTGCAAATTGAATACGTATGTACGTACGTACGTAGAACCTTAAAGATTTAAAAATGCGGTAACTAGTTACATAACTGCATAAGCCATAACGAGAATGGTTTCTACCGCATTTCCATTACGGACAAGGCTTTCCAGATTTGGGTTACAGTATTTGGTAATTTCTAGGTTTGGATTACACTTCTGCATCGGTTCAGAGTGCATAAACCATCAATGATGATAATATATCGATATCCAAAATTCCGTAATGGAATTCCGCCAGTGGCTATGTAGAGCATGCATTTGGATTAAGGTTTTGTTCATTCCGCTAAAAATGGTATAGCTAAGTTTTTTTATTTTGTACGTATGCAGTTATTAAATAATGCAGCAATAAACTATACATAGCAATATGGCAAACTGATATCTTGTTCGAAATATAGTACTTCAAAGCCACGTTTCTAAAAGAACTTTTTTGTTGAGTTTTTTAGTTCGCAAATTCTTTAAACCGCTAAGTTCTTTAGATCTCTAAGTTCTTTATATTCTAAGTTCTTTAGATCTCTAAGTTCTTTAAACCGCTAAGTTCTTTAGATTCTAAGTTCTTTAGATCTCTAAGTTCTTTAGATCGCTAAGTACTTTAGATCGCTAAGTACTTTAGATCGCTAAGTTCTTTAGATCGCTAATATATAGATTATTTATTCGAAATTGTGGATGATAATCTTTAATTTATTATTGTGTTTTAAGTGACTTCAGGACTTTCCTCAAATTTCTCCCGGAGTTAATTCACCAAATATAAGATATTAGGAATGCGAAAAAGGCTTTTGAAACATATCTTTTTGAAGGTTATCAAACTTTCAGAATACACATTTTACATACCGATAAATTATGTTATCCGACAAACTCATATGATCATGGCGCAGCAACGTACTGTTATTTTTTAACGCAAAATGACGTATTGCCGAATATTCGCGATTTGTACAAATAACAAATACACGTGTCAATATTATTCGGCAAATAACCAATATTCGGGCCAAAATTATTCAAAATTGTTTGTTATAACAATAATTTAAGCGATAATATTATTTATGTAAATTAAACAATTATTATAA